TTTAATTTAATTTAATTTAATTTATCTATTTTTTATTTTATTTATTCATTCATTTATTTTTAATTTGACCAGAGAGAGACACACAGAGAGACAGAGATGGAAAGTAAGAAGGCAAGCCACCAGGTCCGGGATTCGAACCATGGTCAGCCATATAGGAGTGTCCAGTGCCTTAACCACCATGCCACCTACTAGTCCCACTACTCACTGTTTCAAGAGAAAGAAAACAGCCGAGATGCATTCTTAATGTGGAAGATATTTTGTCATATTACAGTATTCCCTGTCTCTGAAGAATACGAGTTCTCTAAGTTGTTTTCATCACCACGTCCGTTCTCCATACCTGTGTGGCTCCGGATATGAACTCTCAGTGTCCCACTGCTAGCGAATTTCTGGCCACAATAGGGGCAGACTTTCTCCTTTTCTCCTGTATGTGTCTAAAAGGAAAGGAATAGAAGGTTGAGGATAAATGAAAGAATTAAATAAAGATGATTAAGTGCCTCTGACAATAGTAAATCCTTACTTTCCAGGATTATGTTTCATTAAAATGATTTACTATCACAATGAGATTTTAAACAATTTATCATGGAAAGTCCCACCAATGGAAAAACACTGTTTGAATCATGCATTAGTGTTAATTTGAAAATAATTCTACAGTTTACTTTCTAAGCTCTTATGGAGTCCCGCATCACAAAATGACAGAGTTATACAAAACCAATACATGCTAGCTAAACCACTTAATCGAAACGGGGCCACAGCCCCTGACCGCTGCCAAGAAACACTTCCTTTGAAGCATTTTCCACATTCTTTGTGTGTATTTAACTCTGGAGGACAGAATTAATCTCAATAAAGTCCTCTATGACTTGCCTTATGCTTGTCTGGACCGATTTGATTGCAAATCAAAAAGGAATATAAATCTGTTTCGGCCTTTAAAACCAGCAGGTGTTAATTGAGCAGTTAATTTGAAAGAACATTCCTTCCCTAAATATACCTTTAATCTAAGCATAAAACAATTGCACGATGAAAGGTGAATGGGTGTCATCAAAAGCAAGCTTCAGAAAATGTTGGGGAGTTCAAAGAAAAAAGAGTAGCCCCTCAAAAAGGAAGAGGCAGATGGAGCATTTTAAAGTGGCCTTACGATCTCATCACAAGAGCCAGTTTTCTACCAACATCAAAACAGATCATTCCAATAAGCGAAGGGTCAGAGCTTTTCCTTAAGACCCAATGTTTCTCAATCTTAAAAGAAAGGAAAGAGACACAGGAGTGGCAATTTCTTCAGGTATCTGCACATTCCCTAGGAGACTGCTTTTGGAATTTATTAAAGGATAACCTAAAAATTGACAAAAGCATACAGTGCCTCTTCTGGGTTACCATCACAGAGCAGAACTCCTAAGGCTTGTGTTTGCATTTATTCTTGTGCAATTACCAGCAAGTGTTCCTATTTAAATGGCCATGAACTAATGAAAAATAATTTTTTAAAAAGATTGTTTTGCTTTTGTTCTCGTTTTCAGTTTTTGCCATAGGGTGCATGCATTTGTTGGAGAGAGAGAGGGGGAAAGTGAGAAATCACCACCCAGGATGGGGGATTAAAGATGGGGGCAAAGGGGGTGATAGCCATGTGGCAATCCCTTCTCCACCATTCTCCTCTCGGGATTTTTTTGGGTACATATGCACACCCACCCAGAGTGATTTTCAAACTGCCAGCTCTGGGACTCAAACTGTGGTCAGCCAGGTGGGAGTCAATCAATACCTTAACCACCACACCACCCACTGGCCTCTAGAAAAGATTTTTTTTAAGAAAATCACATGTTCTCTTGTGCTGGAGCCCCAGACAGTTGAATGTATGGTTCGAGTACTGGACTGACAGCTTGAGAAAACACACTAGGAATGTACGTGTGCATGCCCAAAATCCTGAGAGGAGAGAGAGATGGAGAAGAGACTGCTACAGGACCAGGTCTTACAGGAGACATTTCCCCTTTCCTTCTCTGGCCAGCATACATCCCCTCCAACTAATTAAATAACAATTACAATGATACTTTCTAAGAAGAGAGAAACTGACTGGGACAGAGAAAAAGAAGTGGGTCACCTGACAATTTAAAAGAACCATCAACATAGCAAAACATTTTCACCACCATAAACTATTAATGTTAACATAATTTCTTTCATACCCTTATTGGTATATAATTTTCAAATCTGAATATTTGTATTATAATCTGAATTTAGAGACGCACTATTATAGTTGTAATTTTTTTAAAGAGTTATGAACTAAATACCTTAGTCAACATCAATGTCTTTAGAATTCTTTTCCTTTGGATTCATATTATGCTCAAGTTTGAGAAACATAGTCTAATCAATGCCATGCTAGCCAACCACTGGGTCTACAGCAGACATTTTCTTGATTCTGCATCAGAAAAACACATAACTGTTTTTGCTACAGGCTCCTGTATGAGAGTTACACATCTTTATATCTCAGTTGAACTTTTATTTATCCGGATCCATATTATCATTAGATTTAAAATAAAAAGAATAACATTTTAACATAAAAGAGACCTAGTTTCTCATTCTCTGACAGGAGCAGCAAAATATGGTAATTCTTTCTTGATTAGTGCAAGGTTGTATAGAACTATTTATATCTATTATTATAACACTGGACAATTTCCGACAGGAAGCTACCAATTTATTTGTACTATCTTTATAAAATCCAAACGATTTCTTTTGTTTTTACCTAAGTATTTCATTGTTCACTTAATGACCTAAGGTACTTAACAGGGGTAGAAGTTACAAACTAAAGGATATGAGGATTATATAAATGAAAATTAAAATATCTCTTTTATTTAACTCAGGAAATATATCCTATCATTAGGTATAAAACTTGGTAAGCAGGTTTTAAAAGACGCTGATGGTACAATACTTAGCTGCCGTAAGTATTGCCTCTGAACAGCTCACTGTAAGAACAACATTGGGAACCGGATGGGAGCCCAGTGGTCAGATGCAATGCTTGGCAAAGCTACCCACAAGGGATTGTTCAGAGACTCTCCTGATGCGGGGTTGGCTGAAGTTGGAAGTGAATCATGGCACTAAAACCCTGCTGGGGGGTCTCTCTCTCTCTCTCATTAGATAAATAAATAAATATAAATAAGCTTTCAAAGAACAATATTGGGCCAGCCATGGCATAGTGGTTAAGGCAGCTGGATTCCACATGACCTTCTACTCAGTTCGAGTCCCAGCCCTGGTGGCTTGAAAAACACACTGGGCCCATGTGTTTGCATACCCAAAATCCCAAGAGAAGAATGAAAGAGAAGAGATTGCAGTGTAGCCATCCCTCCTTGGTAGGTGACTTGTCACACTGTTTCTCTGTCTCTCTGGTAAGCACACGTAGCAAAATTAAAAAAAAAAAAAAAAAAAAAAATGAAGTAGAATATTGAATAGCTGTATTAGACAAAAATGAACAATATGATATAAAGATACATTCTCTGACAATGTTACTGCAGACAAAAAAAAAAACTCACCTAACAATTCACAGTACTTTTCCCTTATTTATTAAAACATAAGAAAAAAGTATTAAATTCATACAAAAAAAGTAACTGGAAGTTGAAAAGGTAATTGAAAAGTAATTGAAGGCATATACTTACTTTCTTATGACTTCTAAGGGAACTGAAAGACTACTCTCTTCAGAAATTTTAAAAAGAAAGGTGAGAACAACAACCACTGAGCGTTAAAGACAACAGGAAAAGATAGCCAGTGGATTCTGCCCTTTTGCAATAACCATATTAAGGCTATGCACCAAAATAAAAGTCATATTGAAAGAGTGATCCTAAGTTTTATTTGAGTCAAGCAATGCTTTCAAATCCCTATTCTTTTTATTTTTAAGAATTATTTTATTTTATTTCATTTATTCATTCATTTATTTTTATTTGACCAGAGAGAGAAAGAGAGAAAGCAAGTCACCAGGTCCGGGACTTGAACCATGGTCAACCCTGTGGGAGTGTCCAGCGTCTTAGCCACCACGCCACCTGCTGGTCTCCTCAAGTCCCTATTCTGAACCAGGAGCTTCCATATGTCTAAAGATGCAAAGATGAAGGTTCGTTCCAATTCTAAAAGAACTCAGTCTCACAATTTGCCAGTAAGTATCTCGATGAACTTTAAAAGATATAAGAATCATTAAGGCACCACTCCTACTTCTTTAAAATAACTAAGCCTACGTTAATCCAAAAATGTATAGAAATCAAGTACTCTGTAAGATCCACCTTTCAGCCTAACTCATAGGCATAGAGAACATACATCTCACTCTGAAGTTCTCTCTCATGGAGAAATACATAACTATTCCGAAAACTGAAGAAAATGCATGTTTTCAGAAGAGCTGATATAAACCAGGCATTTGCCATTTTGTGTAAACATGTTGATACATTAATATGAAATTATCACACAAATAAACATATATCTCCCTCTGTTTCCATATTGCATCCTTTCAAGCAGTCGGAAAACCTGTACTTACTTTCTTATGACTTCTAAGCACTGAGGGTGTAACGAACGCCTTATTACACAGCTCGCATCTGTACTTCTTGTGTCTCTCATGGACCACCTGCACGTGAACGTTTAGTGTATCCTTCCTTTTAAACGTGGCATCGCAGTGGTGACACTTGAAAGTCCTCTCACCTCCGAAACAAAAGAGTCAATAAGAGAACCATAAGATGCCACAGCAGGGTCCTGTCAACTCCTTCTCTTACTGCCTTTCTGAAAAGTAAGCTTTATAGCTCAAACCATCATCATAACCATAACAGCTAATTATGTTTACAACGAATTTCAGATTCTCATCTGCTAATTCACTGTGTGACTGACTGGAGAGAGTCTGGCCAAAATGTCACCTACCTTCCAAGATTTTCAGTCTCCTCAAATGGAAAATGGGGGATTGAATTGGCTAATTTTCTTAAGATACCATGAACATTTTTCAGAAGCATGATTTCTAGGGTAGGGCCTGGGTTGGAGCTAAGTAGACTTGTGCAGTGACCCAAGGCTTAAGTCACTAGGTGAGTTGCTCGTGGGCCCCCTACCAAGCTCCTGTCAGATCCCACCACTGTCCATAGGGTCTCCGGCCGTCACTGATCCCGACCTTTACCTTCAGTGACTAATTCACTCACTCAGCTATCAACATTGATTTTCCTGGTCAAACGTTATGATGCAACTTCATTGATTAATGTGTTGATCATCATCAAATTAAACAATTCTTTCAAGAGATAGTGAAAGTATAAACAGTATCTGGGTTGCCAGTTTTTCAACCATTTGGCCCATTTCAAGTAGTTTTAAGTGGCTTTTTCTATATTTTATACACTATTGTGTTAACCCAGGAAAAACTGTTGTTAAATATGTTTCTGTTCAAAATTAAACTTTGAATTCAAATCTTCTAGTCAGTAATTGGCAGCATCACGTCGTTTTTACACATTTGTAAAAACAATTTTCTCTGTGGTTAATAATTGGTCTTCATAATTTTTCATTTTCCCCTTGGAAATTCCTAGCTTTTAAAAGAATATTTGCTAAAAGTATGCTTTGAGTTTTAAAAATAGCTTATTTTTTGGATATTAAATTAGTGTTATATATTGAAAAAAAATTAAACATGTAAAATGCAGCACAGTCTGCATCCAGTCATTTCAATCCTATTTCTCAAGTTGTTGAGAACCAACAATCTAAAATAAAAAGTATTAGATTCTGGGATGAGCAGATGGCGTAATGGTTGTCACTGGACTCCCACACAGTAGACCATGGTTTGAGTCCCAAAGCTGGCAACTTAAAACTCATGCTAGGTCCATATGCATACATGCCCAAGATCCCAAGAGGAGAATGGAGAAGAGATTGTGGCGTGGCCATCCTCCCTGGGTGGTAATTTCTCGCTTTCTATCTCTCAGTCTCTCTCTTTCTTTCTGGCGAGTGCACACACCCTATAGGAAAAACCTCTCAAAAAAAAAAAAAAAAAAAAAAAACCACGCCCCTGCCACTCAGAGGCCTAGCTGCGACTTCCAGCATGGTGAAACTAGCCCCGAGTTTGTCACTGTTCCTGAGTCTCAGTATTCTCAACTCTCATCCACTCTGATCCTTTCCAATCTGAAAAGTTTTGAGATAATAAAATCCCACCAAATATCTCCATACTTTAAAGGGTCAGACAAGCTTCCTTCATCATTAAATTTATTGTTTATTTATTTTATTTATTATTATTATTATTTCACATGAATTCTGCAAGTGAAAGACAGAGAGTGAGGAAGAAAGCAAGCCATCAGGTCTGGGACTCGAACCGTGGTCGGCCATGTGGGAATTCCAGCATCTTAATCACCATGCCACCTGCTGGCCCTCATCATTACATTTAAAAGGGAATAAAAACATCTATTTCCAAAGAATGCACAAAGATACCTTATAGGATATAGGAAATGTGTTTAAATAATGGGAAAAAAGGATATAAAATAAAGTGTTTCATCAAAGGTGAATCTTATTATGGGAAAATAAAGCGAAAATAAGGAAGAAAAGATGAAAGGCAGAGTTATCAGCCATTTTATGTTTAAAAGCAGATTATAAAACTAGCAGCACACTTCCGACAGCCATTCTCCAAGACTACAGAACAAAGTATGAGATGGGTCCTTTTGTTCTCAACTGTCTGAACCCTGACTTACTGTTATGTATTAGCAGGTGTCTCTGCAAAGAAAATGGGGTCCGGAACAAAGCCTTACATTCCTCACATTGAAAGGGCCTCTCCTCAGAGTGGGTCTGCAGAGGAAAGACACTGAGAGTCAGAAGGATCCAGAATCAACTAGTCATGACAATCAACATATCTCGGATTCATGATGTGAAAAGAAAGAAGGGATGGTGGACAGCATCGCGTTTCTTCTGCTGACATTCTTCCACCTTGAAATTACAAATGCAGATAGGCCGTGCTCACAGGAGAAATCAACAACTGCATTTTAAACTCCCACATTAATTAAAAATTTGAGAAATCGTAAAGGACATTGTTCCTATTATTTTCTTTCTACAAAAAATCAACCACAATATATTTTGAGTGTCAAAAGCAGAAAGCAACACGTTCCGTTTAGAATACCATTTAAACTCTACGCATACTCACACAGAACGGAATCTAAGATGTTCTACAATACATTATGCAGGGTTTTTCCAAGAAAGTGGCAAGTGGTATTTAACAGAATGTTTGGTTTCTTCTTTATTGCATTCTTCAAACTTTCTACAATGAGTAGATACCATTATTATAAAAAGAAAGGAACCTTTTTATTTTTGGAATATCCAGATGGGAACGCAGGATTGCTTTAGTCTTCCAAAAAGACTGTGTTCCACCCTAGCTCATTCTCCCTTTTCCCAAATCTAGGACAAAGCAACTTGCAGAAATGACTTAATAGCTTGATTAGGAAAGAACCTGGAACAATAATGCCTTTCAGCGAGGTTAAACCAAAGCTGCATTATCTAGATATTGGCCTAAAGTCAACAGTGTAGTATTTTTAGCAGTACATTATTAGTGCACAGCAAGGCCAATAAATACCTTTGTCAGAAAAGATCCCAGCACCACTCTCTGAATGGAATGGCATGACATGTGAACATTTTAGCAGGGGATGCGTGCATTCAACCAATAGAAAGAACCCAAGAAGCCATCTCATTTAAGCAAGAAGGAGTAAATGTTCACACGTGGACCGAAGAATTCTGTCTCCAAGATATAATATATTTTTCAAGTAGCAGATGTAACTAAGCTTTCTTAAAGGTATCTTATCCCTCAATTTTTCATTTCTAAAGAAGGCCAGACTTTTCACTGATTTATTAATCAAATAACCCTTGAGCTATAGAACATCCCCCCATTAAAAGTCAAGCCACTGATGACACCAACATCTGTCACTGTAACAAGCCAACAGTCCACGAATGAATGCTATGAAATACATCTTATACGCTATTCTTTGTTACGCACCAGATCTGATTACTGTTACAGATGTAGAAAATACATAAGGAATTTGGATGAACTATTTATAACATCCACTAAGATGTCTCAAAAATGCCTAAAAGATTTTAAACATCATTTATAATAATTACCAAACTAACGCAGTTCAAGTCACATGGATCAAATATTAATTTCATGAGCACAAAATAAAATTTTCATTAAGACCATTCACAATTAGAAAGTATAACCCCGACTATCAGTAATATATATTCACTCCATAGTAACAGTAGAGATATTTCTTCTTTGGATCATGTGCAAAGCAAAAAACACTCATAAAATTAGGAGAAATAATTAAAGATAAAATAAATTTAGAGAAAATGGTTCAGAGATATGCTTATTAAGAATATTCTTTAGAGTGTACATGCCCTATAACAAAAAGCTCTCTTAAAAAATAATAATAATAATTCTTTTTTTAAAAAAAGGAAAATGTTTTGTTATTGAAGACTCAAGTCTGAATATCAAAACCTCATTACTGTCCCACTGTAACCCATAAGAAACCTAAAGCTACATAAAATGCAAATCAGCTGACTGTTGACAAAGTCTGTAGATTATATTTTTACTATTAAATTTATCATTGGCTTCCTCAAAAGCCCTTCTCCCAACAAACATACATTGAAACTGGAAGGATATTAAAGAATCCAGTTTTCTTTAAGCTTAATATAGACATAGGTAGCACACTCTACATAGAGAGGAGCCTAAATTTTAGATCCCACAGATGTACAGCCCTGCATGGCTGCACCCAAATTTACAGTGCTTGAAAATCTTAACTCCATTAGTACAAAGACAGAAGCCCACTCAGCCAATCACTGAATCTCCATGGCCTTGAGAATGCCCTACTAAGGGAAAATGGAATTTTCTCTAGTTGTACTTTAGCTTCACTCATGAAGATCTAGCTTTTACACTCACCACAGTGATTGCAGAGCAGGACCTTCTGCACAAAAATAGCATCCTACATTTAATTACTCCCATGTAATAAAACATAGTAAATATGCGATATACTAGTTCCTATAATGGGTAACATGTTTTCTAAGCGGGACGGTTAAATAAATTGGTAATTTTTCATTAAGATTTATTTGCTACGTGAAGAGAAACTGGTGCAGATCCCTAAAGTACAACTAGGCAAACAATAATAAACTGATGTCAGTCTTATCTAAAATTATAAAGTAAATACGACCATCAATTCTTGACTAAGGAATCATATTCTATGTAATATAAATGCCTAGAAATTTTACAGATACTAAGAGGATAATAGGATTCCAAACATTTGGTGAATACCGGTCAGGCAAAATAGATCGATGGAGAGAGAGCAATATGGGTGACGAATATTAAAATGTGTGTGCATGTGTATGTTTACGCCATCACCAAACTCTCAGAAGTGTCTGCCAGAGGGAACCAGCAGTTAGCGTAATGGCTATGTCGCTGGACTCCCATGTAGTCGACCGCGGTTCGCGTCCCGGACCCGGTGGCTTAAAACTCATGCCGGGCGCGTGGGCGTGCGTGCCCAAGATCCCAAGAGGAGAATGGAGGAGAAGGGATTGCGGCGTGACCATCCCCTCTGGGGGGTGATTTCTCGCTTTCTGTCTCTCTGTCTCTGTCTGTCTGGCGAGTGCACGCGCCCTATAGCAAAAACCTCTCAAAAAGAAAAAGTGTCTGCCAGAGAGGCATATTCTCAATGAAACCTTCACACGCACTAGCCAATCTATTTTTCAAGATAACACGGGTGTACAGTGAAGTCCAAAGAACAGATTTTGAGTCATTTTCTGATTTTAAATACATCCAAAATGAGATATAAAGTTCAAGGCCTATTTTCTGCTGAAAATACTGAACCTTAGCACACTTTCATTAGAGCATCATTCTCATTTGTACTTTTGTAGATTTCGCTGGTTCCGATGTGTAGTATCATCTGATATGAAACAAATTACTACGTCACAAGAAGGATATCTCTTTTTCAGAGATGAATTACATTCCATTTCATTTATCTTAACCTCGAAAAGTATACTACCAATTCATTAAGACTGGGGACATCATTTAAAATTCATCACCTTGGGGGGCTATGGAGGTGCAGTGCTGAAACGTGACACTCTGATGATGACCCAGAAGGGAAGGTTCTGGGTTCATGGCCTTTAACAGAAATGGTGGGCTGGGAGATGAGTCAATCAAGAGGGTAGAATTCCAGGTAAAGTAAAAATGTAAATCACTTAGGAAGAATCTCCATGTCATGACTCAATAACATGTGTTTTTTAAAACTTCTATTATTTCATTTCTTTCATGAGTGAGAGAGACAGAAAACAAGACAGAGAGACAGGCACTCCCAACTCACACTCCCATAGCCGGGATCGTGGGCATGCATGTGCACGCATGTGCACACCCAGCATGCACAGGGAGACCACTAGAGAGGAACCCAGGACTTTCCTATGTGGGTCCAGCATCCCAGAGCATTTTGGTACCACTGCTGTTGGCCCGGTAACATGTTTGATGACTTCTGGGTCTTTATGTTTCCTGTGTTTTATGTCTTATTTAGAAAACTCTTGATTCTTATGCAAATATTTGTCATTGATTGATTGATTGATTGGTCAGAGGTGGGTGTGCTTTGTCATAGCACAATCCTTTTTTTCTTCCATTTCTCTATCCCATTGGCATTTGGGGCATCCATGCGCACACAACTGGCAGGTTCTTCAAGCCACCAGGTTCATACCTCACATGCCTCCCATGTGGTGAATTTGCTCCCAGTGTACAAAGATAGGTAACTGTACAATATAACACCGTAAATGAAAGCACACGCTTCACCTGGAACATCCTTGAGGAAGAGCAACCTGCTACAAAGTTGGAGGAAACCTTGAAAACGTGATTTGATTATTGAGTACTATCTCTCAGTCTCCAACCTGGTACCTTCCTAAGAGATTTTCAAGTTTGTTTTGTTTTTAACCATATTGGATTTATGCCATGTATTCTGGCTATAGAACCTAATACACATATTAGAGAGGGACTCGCCCTTTTCTTTAAGGTCAAACGGAATTCCACCCAGGCAAAATCTGAAATTATCTTTCAAATTATTTGACCAGGACCATAAAATACTTCTTACAATGAAATCCAGCACACATATACACACACATAAATGACCTTACTCTTACACTTTCTATTTGCATTTTTAAAAAATTTGTCAGAGGACATGTGCATTTACCAGAGGGGAGAGAGAGGGAAAGAGAAAGAGAGAGCGAGAGAAAAGGCAAGAAATTCCTCTCCAAGGGGTATGTTGACACAGCGACCCCTTCTCCTCCATCTCACCCTTCTTTTTGGACTTTCAGCATATATATGCTCATGCCAGTGTGTTTTTCAAGCCACAGGGGCCAGGACTCAAAGCACTTGGTCTGCCATGTGGGATCCAGCCACCCTAACCACCAGGGCACAGGATAGTCCACTATTCTACTTCATAATGGCTAGCAAATTGATTTCAAGACCTACAGGTGGTATTAGATCCGAGTTTGAAAATAACTAGATGAGACATTATTATGAAAGGCCCATTCAGTTTTTCCAGAAGTTATATTATTCCAAGAGAAGTTCTGGCGGGATTTTCTCATAGGCCTCCAGAGTTTCATCCCCTTCAGGAAAGGTCTTTCATTTGAACCAACACACAGCTTTCCCCAAGGAGCTTGTTAATGATTCCACTAAGGCAAAACCCTCCTTCCTCACTTCCATCATCAAGCAAGTAGGGCCACAAGCTCCAGCATCCATAGCAGGAGGAGGGAATTACCATACACCGTACAGGAATTTTGCTTTGCATTAAGTTGGACAGAGAACAAAAGGAAGGGCAAAGACTAATTGACCAGTTTCTGTCTCCTGTGGGCCTAAACATCTGTCCAATCATGATTTAAAGAAATCTAACTATAGTTGGAACCAGATAAGCAATATTTAGCTTAGTAAAATCCTAAAATACACCAATGAATCAGATCAAATCATTGTCAGAAACGAGAGAGAAGACAAATGAATTTGACCTACTGAGCCTGTATAACTGGAAAAATGATAAAATGAGCAACTAAGTTTTTTTTGTTGTTGTTGTTGTTGTTGTTTTGGTTTTGGAGAGGTTTTGCTAAAGGGTGCATGCATTTGCCAGAAAGACAGCGAGAGACAGAAAGCGAGAAATCACCCCCCATGGGGGATGGCCACACCACAATCCCTTCTCCTACATTCTCCTCTTGAGATCTTGGGCACACATGCACACATGCCCAGCTTGTATTTAAACCACTGGGTCTGGGACTCAAACCGCAGTCGACTACATGGGAGTCCAGTTACAGAGCCATTATGCCAACTGCTGGTTCCGCAACTAAGTTTTAAAACTAGAAGATGCCGTTCGAGGAGGCCAGCAGGTGGCATGGTGGTTAAGGGCAATGGACTCCCACATCTCACACATGGCCAACTGCAGTTCGAGTCCCAAACCTGGTGGCTTGATTTCTCTCTCTCTCTCTCTCTCTTTCTCTCTCTCTCTCTCTCTCTCTCTCACACACACACACACACACACACACACAAATGCACAGTTCCTCTCTGGTCAAATTAAAATAAATAAATAAACAAACAAAGTAAAGTTCAATAAAATAATTCTAAAAAAAAAAAAAAAAAGAAATTGCCCCATTCGAAATGTCACTATGTTGTCATAATTGCAATGAAAGATAATATTCCCTTTCCCATGCAAATCTGAATGAAAGAGAAGATCTGACCCAAAGTCAAAAATATAACAAAAATGCATAGGCTACATTTTCAAAACACAAAATAAAAATTTACTTGATGTAAACAGTCCTTGGGACATGGAACATGATGGAGATCAAAGTGACCCTTAATGGTTTTATTTTTGTATTGCAGATTTCCTTCAGACAGCCTTATTTTTTGGATTCGATATATTCTTATGTTTCAGTTTCCCAACTAGCCTTTAATCAACAATGAAGGAGGAAAAAGTTGATTTGCTTTTTTACATGCTTCTTGGAGAATTATTTCAGATACTTTCATATAGCCATACCAAACATACATTAGGATCATAGCCTAGTAAGAAACACATTTGTCCAGAGCAGAAGAATTGAATGTGCTTTCCACTTGATATTACAGGCATCGGTGTTTCCATTCTTCCCAAGACATCATTATTACTTTCGTAGGATTTATGGTTGGACGTATGAGAGATGGTGCAAAGATCCCGTTCTAAATTCCCATATGGAACAGAGCATAAGCCAAACTGTGAAAAACTCATAAATGTGGGCAGATCAGTTTCATCAAGGAAAGGAACAAGAAGGTTCCAGAGACTGAATAGGAAACTAGCCAGATCATTTTTTACAGTCATGTAATTCCAAAGGAGCAGCAATAAATGCAGTCCGATCCTTGAACACATAATGCTTGAGTTAAATATCAGGGCGGTAAGCAAGAAATTAAACAGAGATGATCTGGGAAATGATCAATCAACACTTGTTTTTCCTTTGGGAAATCTCACTCTTTGGTTTTTGTTTTTTGAACTATAAAATTGATCAATTTTGAAAGTGATATCATGATTTTTAAAATTATTTCTAAAGAGATAAAGTGATTTTTAAGATTATTTAATTATTATTATTATTAATTTGACCAGAGAAATGGAGAGGGAAAGTGAGAAAGCAAGCCACCAGGCCCAGGACCCAAACCATGGTCAGCCATGGGAAAATCTAGCACCTTTAACCACCATGTCACCTACCTGCCCTGATAAAGTGCTATCTTTGGGAATCCTCACAAATACTGAAATAACTATAAACCCCTTGGAATATTACAAATGAAAAAAAAAAAACCAACAATTATTGAAAAAGAGATTATATACATGTTACTTAACAACATGGTAAAATATATTAACCAACATCAATAAGCAAGTATTTATTACATGGAATATATTTTTACAAGCATTTTTAAGATACTGAATATGTTTGACCAAATCTCCTACATTTAATTCAAACATTATTTATTAGTTATACAGAGTAAATAAGATAAAAACTTATACGTTATGAAATAAGAACTTGAGTAAAGAAAAAGAAAGTGTAAGAGAGATAAACAAAAGGTGACAGAAGAAACTAAGAAGTGATAACTTGAAGAGAAGGGAGTAGAGACGTCTACTGAGTAAGCAGGTATAAACGTGTGTCTGAATCTTGGGCTTAAAAATAAACAAATGATTTCAAATTCATCAGTATGGAGTTAATAATGGATATCGCTGACATTTCTTAGGGAGAGAGAATGTAGACTAGGTAGGTCTGTAGCTAAAGCATCCAGGGAAACCTGGGAGAAAGGTGAGGAGTATTTTAAAAAGGCAACATCAACAAGAGCATCAAACTTTATAGAAAAAAGGAAGAGCATAAAGACTTTGCAATCAGTAAACCCCAGGCCCAGAAAATGGATTTAAAAGCTCAGAGTCTAGAAACACTGGATGACACGTTGCTTATGAAAACAGTTTCCCTAAATACAGAAGACAGAGGCCACACGGCGTTCTGGATGGAGTATGTGGTCACCAAGGAGAAGCAAGCTCCACTCCCATTATGTACATCATGGCCCAGATATGCAGAAATGTCTTGAGAAGTTAGACAGCTTGAAAGCATACCAGGAAATCAGTTTAAAATACAGCATAAGTAAGTTTTACCTTCTTGTGATTCTTGTAAACATTTCTGTGGGCAAATCCCTTTCCACAAAGCTTGCATTTGTAAGGTTTATCTTCGCTGTGTATTACTTTATGAGCGCCCACTTGATCAAGCCTCTTGAAAGATTTATTGCAAATCTCACATTTATAGGGTCGTTTTTCTGTAAAACATGAGTAGAGACAATCTCATATTTTTATAAAGGAAAAAAGGGAATGCATTCTTACTTTGTGTTATTTCTTATGGACAAATAAATTGAAGCATGGTCAAACAATCAAAAGAAAAAAGTAAAGAAAGCTACTCTGTGGTCCGTGCATATGAGACCTGTGAGCCTTCACTAATGGAAGGTGAGCTGCTTCTTTTACAAGCCTATTTTGTAAATTCAATGTATGAAATAGCTGTACACAGGAATTTTAAACTCAGTTAAGAAATCTTATTTCTGGTTGAAAAGGGGCCTCATCTGTGTGAGTTGAAATCAGTCACAGCCCCAAATGCTAAGAGTGGCCTGAGTCAAAGAGGTACAGGCCACAGCTGCCTTCTGTTGGGCCACGTGGGTGGCATGGAGGCAGAACTTCCAGTCCTCAGCACACCTCTCCATTTAGATGGGTATGGAAAATCCACATTCATGCAACATTCATATAATACTGACAACTACATTTCTTTTTAAATTTTAATTTGTTATAAGGAACATGTGATTCCTGGAGAGAGACAGAAAGAGAGAAAGGAAAAGCAAGAAAGCACTCCCCAGGGGGGAAGGATCATGCTGCAGTCTCTTTTCCTTCATTCTCCTCGTGGCATATGCATGTGCACTCAGCATGTTTTTCAAACTTCCAGGTCTGGGACTTGAACTGTGCAGTCGGTCATGTGTGGTTCAGCCACCTTAACCACCATACCATCTGGATAGCCTGACAACTGAGGATGTTGGGAAAGTCATGACGCATTTTTTTCTCTTATTCTATGCAAAAATGCATCATGACTTTCCCGACAATCCAATAATTCCTTTTTTTTATTTGTCAGAGGACATACACTCATGAGAGACAAAGAGAAAGACAGAGAGAAAGTGAGTAAACACTCCCCCATGAGGGACGGTCCACTGAAACCCCTTCTCCTCCTGTCAGGATTTTGTGCATGCACGCACACTCGCTCGCTGTGTTTTTCAAGACACTGGGTCCGGGACTTGAATCTCACAGTCAGCCATGTGGGATCCAGCACCTTAACCACCATGCCATCCACCAGATGGCCCCCAAAAACAAAATAAAAAAAAATACTGTGTATCAAACAAAACACAAAAGAAAGCCAACACTTGGGGAACTCTGATTATTTAATTTACTAAAATATCTATATCTAGATGCTCCAAACAAAGTAGGTATTCAAAAACTTTCTGACTTCAGGTTCAAGTACAGACACACTAAGCTCTAGAAAGAGAGTCTATAAAGCAAAAGTTATTTTCAGAGCTAACCTGTTAGTAAGATCTATTGGTCTTTCAGAAAAGTCATGATATGTTTTTCTATGTAAAAATTCATCATGGCTTTTCCGACAACCCAATATTAGTCGAACTTGCTTAAAATGAAACTATGGCTTTAAAACCTTAAGTTCTCAAAACCTATTTATGAATTTCTCACTGACATTTATTAGTAACTTAGAATGTAAAAGCAGCTAGAAACGTGAGAACTACTGTGAGTGTTGAATCTCTACGAAATGAGATACTATGCTAGCTAGCATAGCACATTGGATCTCATTTAACCCTCATAGCTATTTTGAAAGGTAGATACCAGTAACCCATTTCACAGATGAGAAACAAAAAAACTGAAGTCCCAGCAGGAGTAGGTGATAAATGAAATGATGACTATGAAGATTTTCCATAGCATTTACAAACACCACCTCATAATAAACTGAAATCTAGAGAATTAAATAACTCGTTCAAAATCACATGATTATACTTAATGGCCAAGCTAAAACTTACAGCCAGGCCTCCTGACTATCACTCTTACAGAGTTTCTGAAATTTCAAAATAATATTTTTATAGTGATTTCAGTATAAAAGAAAATATGCCGTTTACCTGAGTGGGTGATCATATGGCGCTTTAGTTGATTAGCTGAAATAAATTTCTTCATACATTCCTGACAATCAAATATCTCATGAATCTGCAAAAGGTTCAATGAACAGGTAAATCATCTGTCAAAGCCTAGTAAATACTGCAACCAAACTCTAATAAGACATTAGATACACCCAATTAAAAGAACAGTTTCAGTCAAAAAGAATTTAGGTCAATGAAAGCTGCCTATTGACTCAGTAGGGCTAACTTGGAGGATTATGCTACACTGAATGAAGGACTGCATTGAGCTAATGTTATGAACATTCTGCAAAGACAATTTGAGAGGCATTAGCTCCAGCTCCTGTAATCTGCCCTTAGGTAAGAATTCTACTATTAAGATATAAGAATACTAAAGGTTAGCCCAGCACCCAACTGCATAAGGGAGTCAGATCTTATATGGCCAACTACTGTTCAAATCCAGGCCCTAAAAGCTTGAAAACCATGCCAGGCATGTGTGCATGCATGACCAAAACTCCAAGATAGAGAAATGGAGAACGGACCCCATGGGCTCTGGAGACAGAAATGCATCCCCTTTGCCAATTTAAATAAGCAAATAAATAAAATTAAAGTTACGTCCTGTCAAATTACTTTGGGATACATCTATATACAAACAAAGAGTTAAGATTCATTTTACAAAATATAGATATTTGAACCCTGTCATGATGTGAACAAAAATCTAAATTCTATTTTAATATAAATTATTTTAACTAGTTTTGATTATCAATGTTAATAACTGTCATTTGTTTTTCAATATTAACTTTTCATGTCAAAATAATAACCTAGTAATTGTTATTACAAGGTGTGAAATTTATTGTCTATTATAATCATTTGTGCTAACAATGCTTTGACTTACAAATTTATGAGTGCATGCTTTATCATATTAATGCTCTAAAATAAAATCAAGTTCACTAAAACATTTTATAGGCAATTCATGTAATTATGAAATGATTACATTATATTATTTATAATTGTACTTTTCATTTTTCAAAATAATGCAGTGCTTGTCTCTGTTGTGAAAGACTGAACTATAATATGCATTCATTTTAGTAGCTAAATGTAACTGCCTATCACATTATAAATACACAAAAATGTATGGTTTCCTCGCTGGTTTCTATTTCCTGAGCAAATAGCACCTGACGAAACTTGAAAATGAGGAGGAAAATTACAAGTGAAGGATCCACCAGGACATGACACTTGGTATAGCAGAAAAGTTTCTTCTAACTTTGAGTAACAATAAAAAACTCAAAACTATTCTTTCGTAGTTCACTTTTCTTTCTCAAAAAATAAATATTTACTTAATTTTATTTATTATTATTATTTTTTATTTGACCAGAGAGAGACAGCAAGAGAGAGAGAGAAAATGAGAAACCAAGTCACCATGTCTGAGACTCAAACTACAGTCAGCCATGTAGTAGTCCAGTGCCTTAACCACGATACCACCTGCCAGTCCTATAGTTTACTTTTCTGCAAGTTAGTCCAAAATATGTTTGTACTTAAATTAATAACAAAGCTCTCTTAACACTGTAGGAAGTAAACTAGAAGTTTCCATAGCAGTCACTATAAATGACAAACAGGTCTCATGCTGTGATGAAGGTTAATCTTCATTTTACTGGCCTTTCTATGTTCCTGCAGGCTTGATGCTGAAGAACACTTCTTATTGCACACTGAACAGACGAGCTTTTTCTTGGGATCTCCTAAAACAGAAACAAAATACATCATAATATAAATGAGAACATTAAGAAGAACAGGGAGGCCCATTCATGTGGCCAAGATGGTGGGGGTGCTGCTCAGTGATGCTAGAGGCCACATGGGGTGGTTTCTGGATTCACATCCCAGAGCTACCCGGGAATGTCTGGCAGGCTGACAGGTGCACCCAGGATCCCGGCTGGCTGCAGGGTGGGGTGGGGGAAGGATCTCAGCATGAAGACCCTGCCAAGGGTGCCCTCGTTCTTTCACAAAACAAATAAATGGACGGGAGGGGGCAGGGAACAATAGATTTAGTGTTCCTAGGTAATGTGCAATTTCTTTTTTTGTGTGTTTTCTCATTTTTTTTCTTTTTATTTATTACCTTCATTTTCTATATGTATCATTATGGCATACAAAATGCATTTTCCCACCCAGAATACACTGTATATTGGCTCAAAGATATTACCATACATATTATGCAATTTCATTTTCCTAATTTAAGATTCTAAACTGTTCAGTGTTATAGAAACATGCATTAAACACAGATAAATAATTTGTGTTTTAAACCATTTCACTTTAATTTTTTACTTTTTTTAAACTTTTTTTTTAAGAATTAATTTAGGGTCAGCAGGTACCAGGTGGCTAAGAGTGCTGGACTCCCACATGGCTGACCGCAGTTCAAGTCCTGGACCTAGCAACTTGCTTTCTCACTTCTCTCTCTCTCTCTGTCCCTCTCCCTGGTCAAATTTAAACAAATAAATACATACATACATACATAACTAGATAAATAAAAATAAAAGTTAATAAAATAATTCAAAAAAGAATTTAATTTTATTTATTATTATTATTATTTAAATTTCCTATAGGGCCCATGTGATCATCAGAGAGAGATAAAAACGGGTGGGAGAGTGAGAAAGCAGGCCGTCGGGTCTAGGATTTAAACTGCTATCGGCCATGTGGAGTCCATTGCCCCAACACCACTCACCTGCTGGCCCCTAAGCTCTTTCTTTTTAAATGTGAGAAATCGTCAGCATTGGTATACCACTTTCTGCAAATACGAAAATAGGCCTTTCATTTTTCCCTATTAACATAGTAAGAGGAAAAACATGGTTCCACAAAAAATCAAAATGAAATTAAAATGAACCAAAAAAGAAAATTAAGATTTATTAATTCATAACTTGATTGTGCTACTTCATTTGTATTTCAACAGAATATTTTATTTAGTTAGCTGTGTTTTTTTTTAAAGATAGAATTCCTACATGATTCTTTCCAGCTCTAGATTCTTGCAAAATTTATGAACTTATACTTTATCAAATCAAATGTTAAAAACGAGAATGAAGTAAAATCAAGTACAATAAATTATGTTGGCAATTCATATTAGACACACCAAAACAAAGACCAATTTTCTTACCTAATGATGTGTTTAAGGTATTTCATTTCCCATTTTATATTTCACAGTAGCTGTAGAAATAGACTCAAGAGGCCAGCAGGTGGTACAGTGGACAAGGTGCTGGACTCCCACATGGCCGACTACCGTTCAATTCCAAGACCCACAGTGGGAGGACCAGCAGATGGCATAATGGTTGAGTTGCTGGACTCCCACATAGTTGGCCACAGTTCAAGTCCTGGACCCAGCAGCTTGAAACTCATGCTGGGTACATGTGCATGCATGGCCAATATCCCAAGAGGAAAATGAAGGAGAAGGGATTGTGGTGTGGCCATCCCTGCTGGGGGTGATTTCTAACTTTCTCTTTCTCTGTCTCTCTCTATCCCTCTGGCTAGTGCATGTGCCCTATAGCAAAAATCTCTCTTAAAAAATTTTTTTAAAAAGACTCATAATGGGTACATGTGCATATATGCCCAAAATCCCAGCAAGAGAATGGAGGAGAAGAGACTGTGGCATGGCCATCCACCCTGGGGGGTGATTTCTCAATTTGTCTCTCACCGTCTCTTTCTAGCAAGCGCACATACCTTATGGCAAAATCTTTTTAAAAAATTATCTTAAACATGATATAAAACAGTACCATTTGCATCACCATCAATAATTCCACTTTTTTCAAGTTTTAATTGATTTCAAATACACAAACAAAATAAACATGCAGTATAATGAACCACCATGCACCCATTACCCACACCAACGATGACTAACACTGTTCCAGGCCCAGACTCAACTGTCCCCCTTCCACTTCTCAATCATTTGAAACAAATCCAGAACAAGTAAAATCAATATAATGAAGTGATGGAATTCAATTTTTGTTATAGGACTGTATTTATAAAAGAGAAGTACTTTTTTAAAAAAGGAAAACAGGATGTATTTGTCTTATTATTCCAGACACCTATTTTATTCAAATGCACTGATTTTAGCATCCTCAATTGTATAGCCAAGACATTTTTTTCCTCCATAATTGAGTAGTCATAGGGCTACTAAAAGAAAATTCTCCCCAGCAAAATGAATTTTTGAGTGTATGTACTTCATCATCAAGTGCCTATACATATCTATTATACATGAGGCGCCACTTTTTCAACTACCAGTAGCTGCGGCTGTCCATCTTCCACCCACAGCCCTTCAGCCTTGGCCCACCCCTCATAGCAGTTGCTCCTTGAGACCAGGCCCCGTCCTTTCCACCACGGAGGTCAGAGAATGAAATGTGAGACCTCTGCTCCTGCCCCTGCTCCTCCTGCAGGCACTGAGGGTAATGAACCAAACCCCGTATTCAACTGTCTCTTTTCTCACGTCTGCTCCCTTTGGCATCCTACAACTGGAACCCTAGTTCCTTTGAGAAAAAATCCAGGAAAAGCTATGGCAATTCACCTGAGAATATAGCTTTATTATCTCCCATAAATACAGCTCCTTCCCTAGCATGCACAGAATCTGAGCAAAACAGAAAAATGGCAAGTGGGTTGAGGACCTCTGCCCCTTCACTCTCTTCTGTTTTCCCTTGGGTAACTGGAAATGTTCTCACCACCCTATCAACTTCCCTAGGTTCAAAGACAACAGCACCTTCTAAACTGTTTTACCGAGATTTAATACTATTTTAGGGGCCAGCAGGTGGTCTGGTGGTTAAGGCACAGGACTCCCACATGGCAGAGTATGGTTTGAGTCCTGGACCTGGTGGCTTGCCTTCTCACTTTCCTACTCTCTCTTTCTCCCTGGTGAACACATATACCCTATAGCAAACTTTAAAAATAATAAATAAATAAATAAATAAATAAATAAATAAATAAATAAATAAATAAATTTAAATAGTATTTTAGTTTTCTTACATTCAGGTGAATCTGGTATCACTTTCAATTCAACTTTTCAACAATACTGAGGAGAGGTCAGCAGGTGGCATGGTGGTTAAAGGTACTGAACTCCCACATGGCCGACTGTGGTTCATGTCCCAGACCTGGTGGCTTGCTTTCTCACTTTCCCTCTCTCTCTCCCTCTGTCTCTCTCTTATCAAATTGGAAAATAATAATTAATAAAGTTAAATAAAAATCACTCTTTTAAAAAAGATGGGGCTGACAGGCGGCATGGTGGTTAAAGGTACTGAACTCCCACATGGCCGACTGTGGTTCATGTCCCAGACCTGGTGGCTTGCTTTCTCACTTTCTCTCTCTCTCAGTCTCTCTCGCTCTGTCACTCTCTGGTCAAATTAAAATAAATAAAGTTAAACAAAAATAATTCTTTAAAAAGATAAAAACAATACTGAGGAACACATGCCTTATGGCAGTAGGCAATGGTGAAATTCATACGATTATATCTAATGCTGTCATTTAAGTACTCAAGCTGCAACACGCTGGGTTCAGCATGCTTCTGGAACTGATCTGAGAACCTGCACACCATATGTTTCAGTTCCTATAGAAAAACAGGATCCATATTTAAAATCTCAACCTCTCTCCTATCAGCATTCTCAATTCTTATCACCTAACAAGGGGTAGCTGCAATCCTAGGTAGAACCTGCAAGATCTTCCCTTGCCTTGAATACCTCTGCCTTGCAATACCAAAGAATTCTCTGACTATGCATGAGAACACTGCTTTGCCTAATATTCCAGCAGGGAATACCTCTTCCCCAAATGTCTCTGTAGCCACAGAGAAGGCAAAGGAGAGCACACGCATGAGAGACTGAAATCACATACCAACTCCAGCCATCACTATACATAGTGACATTTGGCTAAAACAGCAAAGTTCACATTTCATGCAATCTGCAATGCATAAAAAGAAAAAATAATAAAACCAGGGACCAGCAGGTGGCATAATGGTTAAGGCACTGGACTCTCATGTGATTGACTGAAGTTCAAGTCCAGGACCCAGCATCTTGAAACTCATGCTGGGTGCGTGTATGTGCATGCTCAAAATTCCAAGTGGAGAATAGAAGAGAAGGGATTGCATGCGGCATGGCCATCCTCCTGGGGGGATTTTCTTGCTTTCTGTCTCTCTGTCTCTCTTTGTTCCTCTGGTGAAAGCACATGCCCTGTAGCAAAAAGTATTTCAAATAAATAAATAAACAAAATCTCCTTTTATAAATAATTTCTTACAAAAATCACCAGGAATTTGCACGATTCGCTATATAATAATACCCAAGGCCATTTACAAGAAACCTCAAAGAAATGATGTGTCTAACACAGCCTGAAGACCACATGCCCAGGGACAAGAAGGCAAGTTTCCAGAGTTTCCGCATGCAATCTGGCTTTTTACTTAGTTCAGCAAAGTTAATTTTAAAACTGACATGAAAGTTTTGTTACAATACATTGCAGACATAGATGAAGAAAATTAAGAACAGCGTTTTAACCAGAACAGCATTAAACTAATTTTTTAAAAAGCTATGAAGGCGAGTTCTATCAAAAAGTTATGCTTGCTTTTTGTAATCATAGAAAAGGCTCCAGTATACTGAATTCAGAAAAATACCATCTTCACTATATCACCCATAGAACCTTCAAAAAGAAAGAAACCAGAACACAGTGATGTCCCAGTGACGAGCTCCGATCTGAAGACATATTATACTAGTCCTACACCACCCTGAGCTTTCATGTGACGCTCACACCTAATGTGTAGCATCAACCAATGACGCCAAGTCCGAATCAGCTGTCATGCTTGTCCTGGCCTCTGCAGTTTCAGTGTTGTTCCAAACTCCCGGACAAGGAACAACTATAGACTAAAGATGCTGGGTACAGACTATCCTTTTCACCTGAATGTAGGAATAAACAGGAAAGGAGAAAAGAAATCCATTTTCCTCTCTAGTCACAGACACATTTCCACCCGCTTGCCAAGAGCCGAGGAGGAAAGGAAAGCCATGAGAATAGGATAGGCATAGAAAAATTTGCAGAGTTCCATGAACCTCAACCTCCTTTAAAAATGAGACACCGAGGAAGTAAAAAGTGAGCTGCGACAATACTACATCTGTTCAACTCAGCACAACCGAGTAAAGCCCTAAGCCAAAATATACCCATGGACTGCCCACTATCGGCTACACAGATACAGTCTAAATGATTTTATATATTACTATGTTGTGCTGGCCATAGCCTAGTGGTTAAGGGTGCCAGACCCCACATGGTGGATTGTGGTTCAAGTCCCAGCCCTTTTTGTTTGAAAAGCATACTGATGAATCCCAGCTGGATGGAGAAATGGAGGAGAAGGGATTGAGGCTTAACTACACCCCACTAGGGGGTGCTTTATCCCTCTCTGTCTCTCTCTGCCGAACACACTTGTCCCCAGGCAAATGAAAATGTTTTTAATGTTTTCGTATTTGGCTAACTATTAGATGGAGCTCAAATAGCATTTGCTTTATTAATTCAAATGTATTACATTCCCCATCATAATGTGGTTTTAAATTTTCTCCAACATAGAAAAAAAAATAAGCATTTAAAATATTAAATTTCACTGTAAAAATATGAAGGCAGCGAGCTATCAGGTGATGTGGTAGTTAAGACACTGGACTCTCACGTAGCCAATCTGGTTTGAGGCCTAGACCCAGCAGCTTCGAAATTACGACAGACACATGTGCATTCGTGCCCAAAATCTGGAGAGGAGAATGGAAGAGAAAGGATGGCTCTGTGGCCCTTTGCCCTGAGGGATGATTTCTCACTTTCCCTCTCTCTGTTTCTGTCTTATATATATATATATGTCATATGTATAGGTAGAAGAGCATCACTTAATAGTTCCAAAATGTATCTATAACACCATAGTCAATTTTAACAGTGTATGGATGAGAAATTCCATATGATCAAACATTAAAATTATAATTAATCGTCAGTGCATCTACCTAGGTCTACAGTTATGATAAACTGGGAGATGTGAAAAATGCCCAATCTGCTGAAATTAACTTAAAAAAGAAGCAGTGCTCAGTGGAAGGCAAGCCCCTGCTGCCAGAGCTCCACACCTGTGTGAAACAATGGGAAAGCCGGCTCTTCCTCGGGCGAGACCCGAGCACAGATCGCCCAAGCCAGGGAGAGGAAGCCCCTCCACAGGGCCCTCCAGCGACTCCTCACCAGTGTGGACATTCTCCTGGTGTCTTCTCAGGGCATCCTTGCTCTTCAGTCTCTTCCCACAGCTGTCAGCCTTGCACACGAACCTGACCTCCCGCCGGCAGATATCCTGGTGCTGCTCAAAACTGCAAGATAGCCAACAAAGACAAACAGGACCAAGAAACGTGAGGCAGCTACACCATGCCAAGCTCACCACGGGGGTATGGACCTCACGCTCCCTAGTACCATTTCAGGATTATTGCATGCATTATCTAGGCAGGTAAAGAAGGTAGCACTGAATTCTGCAGTCCTACGATAATCGCTCAGAGGCATGAAAACACACATGCAAAGCATGACCCATGACTGTAGAAGGTCATCTGATAACTCAGCACACAACCTTGATGCCGAACTGAAGGAAGAACTGCAAACGGAGCACTGGAAACTTCGCGAAGAATCCTTCAGACTGCTTTTTGCTGTACAGTGAAGAACACTGAAGGGAAAAAAGAAAAGGGAGAGAGAGAAACACAACTGAAAAATCTAAGCTGCAAAGGTAGGAGAATATTCCAGCTCTGAGTAAAGTCACATCGGTGATCCCTCTTTTCATTCTGTCTTTTGCCTTCTTACATTTTTAAATAGGGGGTTGTTGAAAAAATCATGATACATTTTTTGCATAGAAAATGTAGAAAAAATATATCATGACTTTTCCAACAACCCAACAGGATCTTATTTAACTGTATGCCCCAGTTCATCAACAATATGTTTTTTGTGGATTATTTAATACTAGGGCCCAGAAACTAGTGCAGTGGTAAAAGGTAATACTCTGTGAGGCAATCCCAATGGAAAGGATCCCAGTTCAAGTCCATAGACCTTCCTGAATATACCTGGCATACACTGAGAAGGGATTGCGGAGAGGCCACCCCTCCAGGAGGGGATTTCTTATTTTCTGTCTCTTTGTCACTCTCTTGTCTCTTTGGCAAGCACATGCGTCCTATATATAACAAAAATCTCTCCAAAATAATAATAATAATAAAAGCCACATACAGAACAATGTGTAGGATCATTTAATTCATCATTCTGTCATATCCTGTATCTATTCATCTTTAAATTATTCCTCCAAAGTTGGTGCGAAATACACAGTGCTTCCCAAAATGTCCATGTATTCTTTAGACTCTGAACCCTCCCCATGTCTTAAACCTTTCTGTGATTCCAAAGGGAATATCAAACACAGACAACCGAAACTTGATCTGTCAACTCCAAGTACCCGCTAAATTACACTGAACCTCAAATTAGTAAACCAATGAGCTCGACGTGGAATGGCAAGTTATTAAATGGACAGACCGATTAGCATAAACAATGCTTACTTGTTAAATTTTATAATCAGAATAGCTCAAAAATTAACATACTACACTAAGAGGAGATGAGTTGATGACAATGACCATATAGAAGGCTTACTGTGTCCCACTCACTGACACAAACACAGAAACGTTTGCACACACACACATGCTTGCACACATACAGATTAGAAACCCCGAGTTAAGCCAAATGGTTAAACAAGGTATTAGCTTATCATGAATATACGCACTGTCTTTGCAAAGCCTGCCTAACTGGGAATTTCTTTCCACAGTTCTTGCACTTAAATTCTTTCTCCTCCACAGGCTTCTGGTGCAGCGCCTGAAGATGTTCTGCAAGAATATCTTCACTGGGAAAACTTGATTCACACTGGGGACAGGCGTGGTCCTCTTTACAGGCAAGGCGATCTGTACAGTCATAAAGAAACAGACTTACAAACAGAAACTCAGAGCCAAGAATTGCTCCATTTTGCCCTCATTTGAAAATTAAAATGAATTTTGCTAACAGGTATCACATTAGTAAATTCTTATTATCTCTATGAGTATTAATAACATTGTCCTTAAAAAAATAAGAGGAGCTAGAGAGAAATATACCATATAATGTAAATAATGTTATTTAAATAAATTTAATCATTTAAATGTACTAAATAAAATTGAAATCATTTTATTTGTGTTTCACCAAATTATATCAAATCAAACTGAATTTTTTTAAAACATTGTCTTAATTGTTTATTTTATTTTATTTATTATTATTTCAAATTTGACCAGAGAGAGACACACACAGAGAGAAAGGGCAAGTGATAAAGTAAGCTGCCAGGTCAGGACTTGAACCAAACACCACTCCATCTGCCAGCCCCCAAACTGAATTTTTAATTGATCCTAATATGGAGTTATTACAGATGTTGAACTACAAAAAAAGTTTCTCCTGAAATAGGTCATCTTTGGCTCCCTTTTAGCTTCACCAGAAGAAAACTTCAACAGAGACAAACTAAATTGAATTCCCAAGGGTTATCACACATGTAAATTTAAAAAAATGCACAAGTAAAAAAAATAGTGCTGGCTACAGTGCAATGAGTGAAGCTCTACTGTTTCACGTGGACAGATATAGCCCTACCCAAATTTCTTAGTGTGCTGTTTAAATTACATTTTCCTTCCTGATTATCAGAGAAAATTAGATTTAGAAAATATAAAGAAAATAAAAATCACCAATAAGCCTGTCATGAAGAAACACCGCTGTAATTTAGTTCCAGGCCTGACTTGTTTTTTGTGCATACCTATTTTATGCACCATCTAGGAATAACTACTCTAATAATAATACTTCACATGCTGCTCTTTTTTTTATATTTAAGATCTACTTTCAAGTCAACTTTTTTTTTTTAAAGGTAACAAAATTTACTTAACTAAACTCTCCATGGTAAGACATTTAGGTGGCTTTTTCTTTTCTTTTCTTTTACTGCTTTTTTTGGTCTTTATTTTTGTTTTCATTATGTGTCTTCACTTTTATAAATAAGACACTAAGAATTCTAAAATAAACATAGCAACAATACATGTATCTGTTTCACAGAGAGAGGGAAAACTCCTTTGGTTTCTATTTATTCTTTTGACAAAGGTAACAGAAACTAGTACTTAAATAACTAAAGAAGAAATCAGGGCAGATGAATAGATTTATTTTTACATTAGAATAATGCACACCCAAAATATGAAATCAAAGGAAACAGAATAATATGGAAATAAACCCCAGTTCGCCAAATCTGACATACCAAATAGCATAATGCATATTTGAAAAACAGAATCGTCTGAGCCTACACTCCCCTTCCCCCCCTTAAATAATCTACCTGAAACAAAGAAGCATAACCGTAAGCTGTAATGGTGAGAGAATGCTCAGACTTCCTACGCTGAGCAAGTCACCAACTCTCTGAGGCTTTCCTTTTGCACACGAGAAAGGTGAGTACAGAGGCAAGGTGTGAAGATGGGCCCTAGATCCTAAGGAATTGCCAATGACATACCATTAGAATATATAATTGATATAAAAGCAACAACTTGGAACCAGCGTCGCTTCTGAAGTGATTTTCTACACAAAATGGAAAAGTACTGTGTGGTAAGCAGCAGCCTGTTGTCTGCACATCCCCACAACTCCTGTGCTGAAACCTAATCCCCAAGGGAGCAGAATTAAGAGGTGGAGCCTTTAGGAGGTGATTAGGTCATGAAGGCTCCAACTTCATGAATATGCTTAATATTCTTATAAAAGAGGCCCAAGGGAGTTTTTCTGCCCCTTCCATAATAGAGGAGCCATCTGTGAACAACAGGCCCTCACCAGACACCAAATCTGCTGGTCACTTGAGCTTAGACTTCCCATGCTCCAGAACTGTAGGCAATAAAGTTCTGTGGCTTATAAATTACCCAGTCTACGGTGCTTTCTTATCACAGTCCAAACGATCTAAGAAATAATCTAGTACAAAACGGGAGTATCTGTGAGATCACTCATAAGTCCCTGGAGAGTAAAATACGGCATTACATTGATAGAAAGAAAGCGCACTAATAATTCACCAGCAGCTGACAACCCAGTAACACCCATCTCCTGGATGGCAGGTCTGGGATTCGAGCCAGAAGAACCTGTGGTCAGCTAAAGTTTTTGATCACCCAACTACGACAATCTAGCAATCCTGTTAGCTCTGTGATCAGAATAGGAGATTCCCAGAAGTTTTACATTCTCTGAAAATCTCTAACAAGAATGAGGCCCCAGAATCAAACTGCTAGGATCCAGGGACCTCCCTTCACACCTTACCTCTGCAGGCACTTCTTTTCCTGTGCAAATAAGAAACTGAAGTCTCAGAGAGTTAGTGACATGCTCAATGCTACAGGACTGATTAATATCAAAGCCAAGAAAAGAATGCAGAAATTCTCACTAAATGCTCACCACCTGTCAACCCCCACATACCAGGGAAGGTAGTGAGGGCCAGCAGCTGCCCCAGCAATGCAGTTTCCCCTCACCTGTACAATCCTAGAGTATATTCATTACTCACTCCCAATGTTCTTTTCCTTTAAAAAATGAGCACACACCTGGGAACCTGCTGAGAGCAATTCTGACAAAACTTTCTCTCAAGGGAACCAGCAGTTAGCGTAATGGCCATGTCGCTGGACTCCCACATAGTCGACCGCGGTTCGTGTCCCGGACCCGGTGGCTTAAAATTCACGCCGGGCACGTGTGCGTGCGTGCCCAAGATCCCGAGAGGAGAATGGAGGAGAAGGGATTGCGGCGTGACCATCCCCCCTGGGGGGTGATTTCTCGCTTTTTGTCTCTATGTCTCTCTCTGTCTGTCTGGCGAGCGCACGCACCCTACAGTGAAAATCTCTCCAAAAAAAAAAAAAACTTTCTCTCGAGAACTCCATATTATAATGATCCATAATGCTACCACGGTTCAAACCACATCTCTTCTATAACTTTTATTCTCTCAGATAACCAAATGCCATACCTTTTTTCCCAGCTGTTGACTGTCTTTTAGAATTTTCAACTTCTCCTTCTTTGATCACTGTCACAATTTGCTGTTCTTCCTCATCGGCTTCCATGTCACTGTCCAGGTAGCCAATCAGAAGCTCTGTATCTGTTTCTATGTCTTCAACTGCCAAATAGAAAATGTTTTCTCCTTCCTGAAACAAAGTTTCAAAAAATGCTAAACCATTCATTCGTATCTAACAGTAATTAAGAAGAGTATCTATCCATGTGCCCATGAAAAGATGCTATTACTCTTTTATATCTAATTGATCCACACACTGAAAAGGGTAAGTGACAATATTTAGTCATCTGGCACATAAGATACAAATACATATTTGTAAAAACATAATTATATATAAAACAAAATGAAATAATTATGTAAACATTTTATTATGAATATTTTGCATTATTAATTGTCCTACAAGTAACACTTTGTGGAAGCTTATTACTTTGCGGCCATCCATAATTGCAGTTTGTCAGGAAACAATGTCATTTACACACTCAGAGAACAATACAATATCAACAATTTCCTGGTGATTAACATTAAATCCAAAACTGGGGAGAGAAAAACAACCTCTCACGTTCCAAAACACACCAGAGGATGATCTGCAAATGTGTCCCCTAAAATTTTCAAACAGCTGGGTAAGAAATAGGAAAAAGAGTAAACATCTGGGCAGTCCAAAGCGTTGACTGAGCCATCATGTATGCTGCAACTTCTCAGCCTAACAGATGGAAGAAAACATTTAAAGAAGTCCACTATTGACATACTGAAACTTTTTAGAAAATTCCAGAAGACAGAAATCAGGCATTGTCTAAATGATAGATTACCAGTGCAAGGAAAAAAAAAAAATCTACACCAAAAACAGATTCAGAAGAAGAATGCTGCAAAGAGCCTTCTTTCCAAGGGGACTCCAGAGAAACATCACGCTCGGAATCAAATGCAGCAAAAGCCCCTCTGGGCCATGGGCCAATCACTAGGGAAGCCAGAACTGGGGCTGCTTTGCTGGCTCTCCCCAGGAAAAAGCACCCAGAATTGCTCTTTCAGACAGTTGAGGGTTTGTTCTGGGAAGGTTCCGAGTTTGGCTGCTGAGGATAAAGAGAAGCAAAGCATAGCCTGAATTTATTGAACCTTCGTGGTGGGCAAAGGGAGGAAAGGACAAGGAAAATAAGCTCCACTCAGGAGTGAAATTCAATAAAGCTCCGAGCACAGAACAAAGTGGTCTTCCCTTTGGCAATACCACAAAAACCTACCTAAAGGAGGAGGAGGACGACAAGGAAGGGAGAGAGGTAAGAGGACAGACAAGAGGTGGGAGGAAGAGGAGTGGGTAATGAGTGCACAGGTGGGTAAGTGGACAGACACACAAACAGAACCTCCAGGAACAACCGGAAGGCTGTGGGCCAGACTGTTTATATGGTTATGATGTTGAGGATGGGAGAGGGGCAATTATCCTACACTCAATATGGTTTTAGTTGGGGGTTTTTATTTTACATTTTTACAATAAGCATAGATTATTTTGTCATTCTAAAAACAATATATGTTAGAAAATTCCATAGAAGTGGCAGAAATGATGATCATATTCATCCAATTCTGGGGAAAGGAGGTTTGGTTCGAAAGTTCAAAGCACTGAAGCAAATTGAACCATTAGCTTCACTTAATTAAAGGACATTTCTATAATATTTAGAGCACTCTTGGAAGTTTCTGAATTTCATACCTCCAGGAACATGAAAAGTTATTTCTAATTGCAATCGTTACTCTCAGTGCTGTATCTCTTGCATTTTGAAAGACATTATGAGCTTTTCACCTGCCACACATGGCATCTACAAGTGCTCTATTTAACACAAGAGCAAGTCTGCAGTAGGGGAAATTTGCAAATTCATGAGTTATACACAAATCTCCTATGAAATGTTGAGACTGTCTGTCTCATCTTCCAGAAAAAGCTGCATCAAGTTTATTCTCCATGTCACCACCAGGTCTGGAATAGCAAATGGTAATTAATTCTTTTCAAGGGACTATTAGCATAGACCCAATAGATAGAAATTTCAATGAATTAAAAAGGATGATTGGCTAAGAAAATACTGTGGCTAAGAAATTTTAATTATAAAAATTTTTCTAAATATTATGCTTTCTAAAAACCATTCACAAGTAAGTAGATGAATTAAGAGATGTTAGTAAACACACACACACACACACACACACACACACACACACACACATATTCTGGTAAAGAGAGATCTTCTTAACTCCAAAGTGGAAATTCCCTGGGTCTGAAAACCATTGACCATTGACTGAGGAGTTACCCAAAGCATCTCAGGACTCACCTAATGAAGACTTCAGAACACAATCATAAATCTCAGTGCTTATCTGATCAATAGCCAAGAAAGTTAATTGAAACGTCTTTCTAGCATGTAAGTCATTAATCTTGTGATGGCCTGCATAGCACCAAGAAAAGATAATAATGTTTAATTTTAAGACATGATAACGCTCACTTAAATTGCAATTGTGAGACATAGTGTGTGTATGTAGGGGGGCTGTAATAAAAGAACACTTCAATATGCCAGCTAAAACTTTAATGAAAGGAATGGCAGCATTACAGTATCTAAAGAACCAACCAATCATGTTTCCCCTGTTTCCCAAATATGTGATATGAAGAGGAATTTAATTATAATCTATGTATCTAATGCTCATATCTAAATCTCTTTCTACACATAACTCTTACCACTGTGTAGGCCAAGAGAGTCTTCTTTTTCATTTGCTGCCACATTATTAAGAAATATTCTTTGGGCAAGCCCATAACCTAGTGGTTAAGGGAGAGAGATCACACATGGCCAACCTTGGTTTGAATCCCAGCTCCAGCAGCTTGATTTGCATGTGTGCACCAAATCCTGATAGGACGCAGAAATGGAGAAGGGATTGTGGTGTAAACACACCCCATTGGAGAGTACTTTCTCTCTCTTTAGCCCATGTGCCTTCCGTAAATATTTTTTTTATATATATATAAAAAGAATCCTCTTCAGGATCAGCAGATGGCATAATGGTTACTTTGCTGGACTCTCACGTAGTTGATCGACCTCAGTTTGAGGGCTGGACCCGGTGGCTTAAACTCACACTGAATGCATGTAAGTGCGTGTCCAAGATCCCGAGAGGAGAATGGAGGAAAAGGGATTGCAGTGTGGCCATCTGCCTGGGGGATGATTTCTCACTCTCACTTCCTGTCTCTGTCTTTCCAGTGAGTGCACGCACCCAAAAGATAGGAAAAAAAAAAAAGATAGGAAAAAAAAAAAAACCCTCTTTAAAAAAAAGTACCTTCTTCTTTTTAGAATTGATTTAGCTCTTCTTTTTGGACAGAAAAGCCCTCACCAGAGGGACAGGAAGAAAAAGAGAAGGTGGCCCTCCATGGGGCATGGTCTTGCGCAGTCCCTCTTCTTCCATTTCTCCATTCCTCCGTCAGGTCAGGACTTTGGGCACGCATTCGCATGAGCCCCAAGCATTTTTCAAGCCACTGGGCTGAGATCCCAACCCCCAATGGCCCTGTAGGATCCAGTTACCTCTGTGTGCCTTGCGCCTGACTGCTATGTCCTGAAAATATCCTCTTAAATTGCTTCTTTGCCTACACTGCACTGACTTCTAAATACCTTACAATCCGTACAAGTCTTTTCGTGTTCTTCTCTTCCTTCCAAAGCTCCTGTTGTCAAAACTTGCCATATTACTAATCTCCAGAGCCATTTTCCCCACCTATCGATGCATTTCAGGCTGGATCTTCTGCCCTTTGAAGGAAAGGACTGAAAGAGTGTTCCGCCAATGCTCTGGGACTATGTGAAGTACGTGTTGTCATTAGCCTGCTATAAAATTGTGCTCCGCATTTGATTCTTATTTTAATGTTCCAATCCAGTGATTTACTTCTCCTTGTTGCAGCTCTCCTTTCCAGTCATTATTTCATGGCTTGATCTCTGAACACAGACTCTTTAAGACCGCGTGACCCTTGCCTTTATATCTTAAGGATTATCCACCTTCCTGTGCCTCCATCTGAGGGCTGGGGCATCCTTACCTCGGCTGCCACTGACTCCTGGTGATTTTGCTAAAAACACCTGGAAAGGTGTTGAACATCATGGTCTGCTGCTCAAAAGCAAACATGCCTAGCATGGGTTTCATGGTACTGTAAAATCTGAATACAACATAAAATAAATGATTTTACATGTGCTATTCCTCTCTCGCATTAGCATTTCTGTCCATCTTTTTAAATTTTTGGTGCTCCTCAGTCCTGTTTCATTTGCTTTATTTTATTTGCACACCATTGTTGGCTCATTATTTCTACTACAAATTGTTTGTAATCAAAAAGTTGCAAAACTCTGAATGTCCAATGATATTGTCATCCTGGATCTCATGATCTTGTGTTCCGTTCACCTGTTCTCACGCTAACACGATCTTCTGGTGTGGACCCCTGATGCCAACCACTTGTCTGAGTTACAACTAAAGCAAGCAACCATCTGGTTACGGGGCACTTGGGACTCTCAGTGTGCTAAACCTGGGAGAGCCTCAGGCAAAGCAAGACAGTTGGTCACCCTAACTGTACCCATCGTGCTCACCAGAATCCTATTCTTAGATCCACCTCCTTCCCTATCTCCAGGCCCCAGTCAGGATCTGCATTAGAACCAGTCATGCCCCAAATAGCAGGTAGAATCCCATAATCTGAACCCATTACATTCTCTCACTCCAACTATCCTTCAAATGAGCCACTTCTTCTTCAGTTCACTTTCACACTTCCTCTTAGCAAGCCCTGAGCTGGGGCGGGTCCCACAATGCAGCAATTACCTGGTATCCAGAGAAACCAGATGCCATGTGACCAACTAGGGATGAACTCTAAGTCCTGGTGGCAACATACCAGAAACATGCATGTGCCCAGGAACCTAACATGAAGGGCAGGTGGAAGAAGTGCAACCAGCCAGAACTGTAGCAAGGAGCCATGGGGCAGTAATAAATAACTGGGTTCTGGATATACTTTGAAAGGAAAGTCCTAATAGACTCTGCAAGAAGTGTGCAAGAAGAAGGGTGAGTCCAGAGTGATGAAGTTTTCCTTCAAAACTTCAGAGATGTTGCTCTACTTAATAAGGATTCTTCCTAAGGATTCAAATAAAAACTGGTTACCATGAATTTTTG